GCTCATAGGGAGTGGCACTATTAGGAGGTGTGGCTTTGTTGGAGTAGGTATGGCCTTGTTGGAGGAAGTGCGTCACTGTGGAGGCAAGCTGTGGGGGCTCATATATGCTCAAGCCATGCCCAGTGTCTCAATTTACTTCCTGTTGTCTGCAAATCAAGATGTAGAACTCTCAGCTCCTTCTCCAGCACCATGTCTGCCTGCATGCCACCATGTCCTGCCATGATGATAATGGACTAAACCTCTGAACTGTAAGCCACCCAATTAAATGTTTTCCTTCATAAGAGTTGCCGTGGTCATAGTGTCTCTTCACAGCTACAGACCCTAAGGCAGGTGGAGAGTTGTCAACCAAGCAGCCCTCTCTGGCTAACGGGTCGCCACGATATGGCAGTCCAGGCATATGGTGACTTGAATGAGCTAAACTCCGGCTGTGAGGAACACTGCAACCTCAGCTGCCGGAGCTACAGCTGCCGCTACAGGAGGCCTTGCTCCAGGGATCTCCCAGAAAGCTTGTGACTGGTCCTTATGCAGGGACAGGGATTGGGACTGGGTACCATTCGGTGATGGGTGGGAATTCTGAGGTATCCACATGTGCCTTGCCCCTTTTCTAGCTACAGAAATAGCCTGTTTTCCCATCTTTTCAGGACAGTTGGGAGGCCTTTCTCCCTCCCATAATAAAGTCTCTCACCAGAAATAGAGCTGTATACACTGGAGGAGTGGGGGGGGGGGCGCGGCCGCGGTGCCTTAGGGCCCTAACACCTGAAGTTCCAAGATATGACACCAGGGGGCAGAAGAGTTGAAGCATTCCAGAGAAGGCAGAAACTTCAAAATGCCTTGGACAGCTAGCTGGTCATGGTAGTGCACATCTTTAATTCCAGCACACAGGAAGCAGCAGAATCAGACAAATCTCTGTGAGTTCAGGGCCAGCCTTGTCTACATAGTGAGCTCCAGGTCAGCCACAGCTACATTTTTGAGTCCCTGTCTCAAAAATAAATCAAGAAGATTTTAAAAGCAGCTATAAATGGCAGAAGTGTTGAGAAGGCAAGAGACAGCAGAGAAGCTGAGGCCGTTATCAAAGACAAGTGATTTTGAAGAGTCATTTGTGGAAGCCAGGCCTTTGAGAACTTTCCTAATTGCTAAAAAGTACGGTGGAGCCACCAGGGATCCCACCCCTCATGGCTCAGAAACTGGAACACTAGCTGTTGTGTGTCTGGGGCCCACGGCGCCCGCAGCGCCCGCAGCGCCAACCCTCTACCGAGAGCACTGAGCCTCTGGCTCTGATTCTCAAAGCTCAGAGCTATCTGCCTAGGCTTGGAGACTCAGACACCTGTGGGCTTCTGAAACTCAGAATCCCCAACACTAAGATCTGGATCTTGCCTCTCTGTGATTTCTCTCAGAAAAGAGCAAAGGAACACACACACACACACACACACACACACACACACACACACACACACACACACGCCATCTGTAACACCAAGACCCCGGGTGTCTTAGTCAGTGTTCTCTCACTGTGCAGATACATGACCACTGCAACTCTCATGTCGGGTCCTGCCCAACTATCAAACTGTCCTTAAAGAGAGGAGTGAGAGTTAAGAAATAATAGACATGAAAAATAGAGACATAAGAAAAAGAGACACAGAATAGCATCAGGAGGGCTCTGGGTCAGTACAACAGTCACCCCAAGTTTATTCCTCAAGAGCTTTTTATACACCAGCAAGTGGAGAGGCAAAAGACTTCCCCCTCTCAAGGACACAATGGTTCAAGGTACGAGTACAGACAAGTGTAAACACGTCCTTAATTCTCAAAACATCCAGTAGCCATACCTTATGGCAAAGCATCCTGTAATTAGGCCTTGAAGGATAAGATACCTGGTAACCATGCCTTTGGCCAAAACATCCTATTATGCAGCCTTGCAGGGCAAAACAAGCTCAGACTCTCTGACCTTGAGTCAGGATGGAATAAGGCCACACTATAGAATCTCTGTGGGTCCCCACACTTTTATAAAGGAAAACATTTAATCAGGCCTTGCTTGGAGTTCAGAGGTTTAGTCCATTATCATCACGGTGGGAAGCATGGCAGCACACAGGCAGAAGGTGCGGGAGAAGTAGCTGAGAGTTCTACATCTGGATCCACAGGCAGCAGGAAGAGAGAGTGTGACACTGGGCTTGCTTGGGCTTTTGGAACCTCACTCCCCAGTGACACACTTCCTCCAACAAGGCCACACCTACTCCAACAAGGCCACACCTCCTAACCCCTCTCAAGTAGTACCAATCCCTGATTACCAAGCATTCAAATATATGAGCCTATGGGGGCCATTCTTATTCAAACCACCACACCAGTGTATCATTAATTTTTATAAATATGCCTATGTATGTAGTTAGAATTTGAATTTCACAGTTGTACTGCACATGTCTGTTGAAACTGTTTCTTGCCAATTTTTTTCAAATTTTCTATATCTTTGTGTTGCATTATCAGTTCCTAGAAGATATGCATTTTTTAAGATTGTTTTTTGTATGTGTACAGTTGTTTTGTCTGCATGTATGTCTGTGTGTGCAGTGCCCACGGAGGATAAAAAGGGGTGTTGGATCCTCTGAAACTGGAGTTACAGATGGTTGTGAGCAGCCATGTATGTGCTGGGAACCAAACTCAGGCCGCCTGGAAAAATAGCCAGTGCTCTTAACTACTGAGCCATCTCTCCAGCCTCAAAGATACATGTTTTGATCTCCTACTTTGATGGCAAATTGTCGATTTCCCCTCATAAGTGGCCAAGAACTCATGATCTACTTTGAGACTATTAAATGCAAATGAATTTAGAATTAGTATGTACTTAAGTTGAAACTTTAATCAGGACCTTTTCATTTTCTCTGTGTAGTAATCATCTTGCCTGAAAGTCTGTATTTTCTTCTATTTTTTTAAAACTTTGTATCACGTTTACATATGTAGTGAATGTAGACACGTGCACCAATGCGATGGTACATATGTGGAGGTCAGAGAACAACTTTTGAGAGTTGGTTTGCTCCTTCCACCATGTGGGTCCCGGGGAATCAAACTTGGGTCAACAGACATGGTGGCAGATGCTCTACTTTCTGAGCCCTTACCATGGCCCTGGGTTGCTTTTTCTCATTTGACAGCGGAGGTTTTGTTTGGTTCTCTTGTATTTGGTTATTCTCCTTCTTTCCCCCTCCATTATTGGTTTAAAACCCTCAATTCGTCCCCTTCACCTTGTGTCACACTGGGGTGCATCAAGGAATCTGCCCTTTGAACTCAGATCCGGGTTCCTTGGGCTTGGGGAACTTGAGCACTGGCCTGAGATCCTAAGGAAGGAACCTGTGCCGAAGAAAATTATTCTCTCAATGCTGGGACTCGGAGAGCTCATGTGTATTCTGTGTGAGATATGGATAAGGCAGGAGAAAGCTGCCATGGAGCGAGATGGTATCTGACCATCCTGTATCCTGACTAGGGCTGTCATGGACAAGAGGTCTGCAGACAACCGGCAGTGGAAGGTAACATCTGCAACCTAGTGAAAGCATCGTGGCCCTGCGGAGGAACGGCAGCGGGCCCCAGAGGAGAATGTCTGAGGAGCCCACAGAAGTGCCCTGGAACAGTCACTGTGAATATCTGCCAATCCCAACCAACAGTAAGATCAGTTTCAGGGGTCTGGAGAGACGGCCCGGCAGCTAAGGGCACTTGTTGCACTTGCAGAGAATCTGAGGCTGGTTCCCCACAGGGCAGCTCACAACCATCTGTAACTCCAGTTTCAGGGCATCCAGTGCCCTCTTCTTCTGGCCTCCACAGGCACTGTGCACACATGACACACATACATATGTGCTAACACCTATACACACAAAATAAAAAATAAATCCTTTTTTTAAAAAAAAAATCAACTGCAAAGGTGACTTGCCTCAGTCCTGGGATGAGCACTAGGTAACAGCTGTATCAGTTGCCCCCAAATCCCTAAGGTCTGAAAGCAATGTTTGTACCATGTGACTCTGAGCCATAAGACACAGCTAATGGACTTAGTAGAAGCAACTTGACCAAAAGGCAGCCAGTGTGTAGGCTGAGCTCTGTAGTGCCCTGAGCCAATCACATTCTCTCTTGGGGACTCAGGGTTGAGTGTGTAAGTGATAATGAGCTGAGGTGGGAAGAGACGGGCAGGTGGAAATACAGGACCAGTGGTGAGAAAGCAGGAGTACTGAGGAGGAGGAGGAGGAGGAGGAGGAAGAGGCAGAAGGACCTTGCGCTGCTTGATTTTTCTCAATGTGACACAAGCTGGAGTCATCTGGGAAGAGAAAACCTCAGTGGAGAAAACGCCTCCAGGAGATTGGCATTGTCTTGATTAATGATTGGTGTGGGAGAGCCCAACCCACTGTGGGTGGTAACTCCTCTCAACAGGTGGTCCTGGGCTGTATAAGAAAACAAGCTGAGCAAACCATGGAGAACAAGCCGGTAAGCAGCAACCCCCCTCTCTATGGTTTCTGCTTCTGTTCCTGCCTGGAGTTCCCGTTTCAGCTTCTCTCAATGGACTATGACTAGGGAGATGTAAGCCAAGAAACCCTAGATTAAACATAGAGGCTAGGCAGTGGTAGCACACACCTTTAATCTAGCACTCGGGAGGCAGAGATCCCTTTGGATCTCTGTGAGTTCAAAGCCACCCTGGACCACATGAGATTAATCCAGTCTAAAAGAGAAACAAAGCCAGACAGTGGTGGCACACACTTTTAATCCCAGCACTAGGAAGATTGAGACAGGAAGTGATATGGCTGGGCGGAGAAAGGAATATAAAGTGAGAGGAGACAGGAGTTTGGCTCCTTTTGCCTGAGGACTCAGGCATTCAGTCTGAGGATTTGGGGAGACAGGATCTTGCTTCCCTTTCAGCCTGAGGCTTCGGTAATGGTGGGAAGTTTCTTTAGTGGAATCTTCCTTTGTCTCTCTGATCTTTCAGCATTTATCCCAATATCTGGCTCTGGGTTTTTATTATAAGACTGATTAGGACTCATACAACACTTTCCTCCCCGAGTTTATTTCTGGTCTTTATCACAGCAATAGACACCTAACTAGAACAGACCTTGGAAAGCTTTAGGAAGAGCAGCCAAATATATCCTGAATTTCTCTGTGGAAAGGGGTTGTACTAGGGACTGAACCTAAAACTTGATACATCCTAGGGCAACACTCTTTCCACTGAGCTACAGTCCCAGACCTGGAGGATTTGTCTTTCACACTCCATTGAATATCCATAGACTCCAGCTCCTGAGTCTCAGGGTGCCATGGTGGATCAAGTTCTAGGCCACTGGAGCCCTGGTTATCTGAAGTTCCCATTTCTGCATATCCAGACTGTCTCCTCTGGCATACTGCAGTATCTGGCATACCACAGAAATGCCCTTCAGTTAACAGTGTTGGACTCTGTTTTCTGCGGTGCAAAGGGTGCCACAGCGAAGAGAAAGAACCAGCAGGAAAGGGTGTTGCCCAGAGCAGAGTCGAGAGCTTCCCTTCAGAGACTTCACATCAAGTAACTACTGCAGCATCCAGCCAGTAAAATTCCCTTCTTGTGCTTTATTGTGTGCTGTGAAAATAAGCCTAATTATAAAACAGTAGAATCTAGGGGCCAAACTTCAAACCTTCTAGCAAAAGAAGAGCCCCTAAGGCTGGGTGCTCATTCAACTCATTGCTTCTGTTTCTTGTTTCTGGAGAGCATGACTCCAACGAGGCCCACGGCTGCCAGGCCCACTCCGGTAATGCCTATGATCTTGGTAGCTTCTCTGACCTGCAACAGAGAAGGAAGTGGGTCAGGCTGTGTTAAGAATGTGGGACCAGGGTCACTCAGTTCGTGGCACCTCACATGCCCCCTTTAATGGGTTGGGGTTTTATTGTTTTTTGGTTTTTTTTTCTGTTTGCTAGTTGTTGTGTGACGTTTTCATCATGTTCTGACAAATAAAGCTTGCTTGGAATCAGAGGGCAGAGCTAGCCACTAGCCGACCAAAATTAACCACAGAGGTTTTGGAGGACTGTAGACAGATAGGACAGGAAGTAGTAAGGTGGGGTGGAGAGGGATCTCGGCCCTTTTGGAGGAAGGAACAGAACAGGTAGGAGAGGACTGGTAGCTTCTGCTTCTCTGATCCTTCAGGTTCTTACCCCGATATCTGACTCCAGAATTTTTATTGATATAGAATAATTAGACTAACGCTTAAGCTAGTTTTTCTCTTGTAGTCAGGGTCTTTCTGTGTAGTGCCTTGAACTCAACATCCCCCTGCCTCAGCCTCCTGAGCACCAGGCTTAAAGGCATGACACTACACATAGTTCTTTCTTTGTATGGAATCTGGTCCCTGCACAGAGGCCACGGTCAGAGCATAGTTGCTCCTATTCCACGGTCCTCCTCCTTTTAATCTTTTATTTTTTAAGAAAAGGTCTCATGTCGCCCAGACTGGCCTCAAACTCCAGCTCACTATATAGTGAAGGGTCTTAGAGTTTCTGTTGCTGTGATAAAACACCCTGATCAGAAGCAACTTGTAGAGGAAAGGGTTTATTTTATCTTACACTTCCAGATAACACTCCATCCCTGAGGGAAGTAGGGAACTCAGCCAGGGCAGGAACTTATGCAGAAGCCATGGAGGAAAGCTGCTCACAGGCTTGCTTCTCATGGCTTACTTAGCCTGCTTTCTTGGCACCTGGCACCACCAGCCCAGGGGTGGTAAGGCCTACAATGAAGTAAGCCTCCCCCCATCAATTATCAATAGAAAAGATGGACCACAAGCTTGCTCACAGGACAATCTGGTGGGGGCATTTTCTCTTGAGGTTCCCTCATTCCAAAATAACTCTAGCTTGTGTCAAGTTAATATAAAACTGGCCATCACAGCAAGGATAACCTTAAGCTCCTGGTCCTCTGCCTCCACCCACCATGTATTACAGGTGTGAGCCACTGAAGCTGACTTTCTGTTCTTAAATTCCGCTAGGAATGGTAGTGAAGTAACACAGGGGTGAGCATATCTGACTTGTGCAGCAGAGAAGGAAAGCATTGCAAGAGAGAGGGGTGTGGGGAAACGAACATTGGTCAGATTTCACTCTCTCCTAAAACCCAACTGAAAACTAAAACAAAAGAGCATTTGCTTGGGCTGGGGAGGAAGCTTCATGGTGGAGCACCAGCCTACCAATGGGAGAACATTAAGTTCAAATCCCCAACACCACAGAGATTTTTCTTTTTAATTTGGGGCATTTCTCTTTGGTTATGAACCTAGCCTTTATGGCTGAGCCATCTCTCCAGCCCTGGAGGCATTTGTTTCAACGAGGACAAAGAAGCTAAGGAATTAACCCTACTTAGAGAAAGAAATTCCTAAAAGGATCAAACTGACAAGCCCAGGTTCTTCTGGGAGTGAACAGGAGAGAACACATCCACCATTTCCCTGGACCGCCCCCCTGACCCCAGCAGAGGTATGAACATTGGTTCTCTGGACAGGGTAAAACAGAAGCTCTCGGAGAGGGGGCGTCTACAAGTCTAGACACACATTGGAGGTGTGTCATACCACAAACAGGGCACTGAGTGACTGTGCGCATGTTCAGTGTGAGTCTCCCCTTCTCTTGCTGCTCCCTGAATAGCAGCCTCCAAGCAAGCCTGGAAGACTGTTCTGGAGAATCTGACCATGACAAGTAGAAATAGCGGAAGATTTGGGTACTGAGAACTCTCAAACAGTGCACTGGGCTCATCGCACAATGAAACTCAACATTAATGAAGCCCTGCCCTCACCCCCGTTCACTGGCTCCTTCCCTGGTGCCTATCTTCTGTATCCCTGGTCTTCCCTCACTGCTGACCTTCTAGTGTGGATGGAAGTTTGAATGGTACCATCAACCAGAGAGGTCTGACTGCTGGCTAGCCTCGAGCCATGGTGTTATGGGGCTACCTTGCTGGGTATCTAGCTGGGGAGATGGATCAGGGTGTAAAGTGCCTGCCTTGTAAACACAAGGACCTGAGTTTGATCTCCAGAACCCTGTCAAAAGCCAGGTGTAGGGCCATGCATTTCTAGTCCCAGCGATGGGAAATGAGACAAACTGATCCCTGGGGCTTGCTGGTTAGTCAGCTCAGTCCAGTTGACAAATTCCAAGCCAGTGAGAGATCCTGTCTTTTTGTTTGTTTGTTTGTTTGTTTGTTTGTTTAAAAAAGAGGAACAGTGCCTAAGAAATGACACTGGAGGTTGACTTTTTGTCTCTACATACACCCAGACACCCAGGAACACACACACACACACACACACACACACACACACACACACACACACACACCTCTAACTAGTGTTTTCCTTGCTATTCTGTATCAGGAGGGGTAAAATGGTCTGCAGTAATGGAGGAGGAGTAACATGACCCTCCTTCCTTTCTGAAGCTTATGTGAGAACAATAACAAAATAATGCTGATACCACTGGTCCAGATAAAAGATACTTTGTCAAGGCACACAACAATGACTCCACTGTTCGTGGTCATACTTTGTACACAGAGAGTGATCAGTATATGAATACAGTATCTAGTTAGTCCTGGTGGTGATAAGGTGGTATAGTCAGGTCATACAAACATACATATATAAAACTTTTATATATGCACTTAACAACATGTTATGATAGCTTGGTGACATGTTATATATGAATAATTTAATGTTTTATTTAGGTAGACTGAGTTCTGCCTGCTGGTTAGAAGTCCCTTCCTTATGTGAGAAAATTAACACTTGTCCAAAACTGCCTGAAGGTTAAGGTGTCACAGGCAACATGATGCTGCAGGTTCTTTTTCTGTTTGCTAAGTCCTGTTTCTGATTGCTAAAAGAATGCTTTCACAGACCAAAGTTATTGTTATTTACATTGTCTATGTTTTTTTTTAATTGCTATCTGCCAAATGTTGGAACCTTATTTGTGCTACAAAGCTCTCTGTTCCTGCAATTTCTACCCCTATAAACATGCCTAACAAATTCCCTTTAATGATTAAGGAGCTCAAAGGCCACATAAGCAGGAGTTATAATGCTGCTTATTGTTATGTAGTGCTGTGTGTAAATAACATTTCATACATATAAGATTGGTTTTAGCTGGGCGGTAGTGGTGCACACTTTTAATCCCAGCACTCGGGAGGCAGAGCCAGATGAATCTCTGTGAGTTCGAGGCCAGCCTGGGCTACAGAGTGAGTTCCAGGAAAGGCACAAAGCTACACAGAAAAACCTTGTCTCGAAAAACCAAAAAAAGAAAAAGAAAAAAAAAAAGATTGTTTTTAAAGGCAACGTTTCTTGGTAAACTGTTGTTGTGATTGGTTGCAGATTAAGAAATGCTGAGGGCATTTCCAGAAAGGATTAACATGGGGAAGATTGCCCTGAATGTGAACAGCACCTTTGCATTAGCTGGAATCCTGAAGAAAGCATGCTGAGCTCCAGCATTCCCTTCCCTCTGCTTCCTGACCTGCCACTGTCCCAGCAGATAGCCCTCAGATATCAGCCAGAACCCACTTCCCTCCTTAAGGTGCAGTTTGTCAGGTGTTTGGTCAGTGACAAGAAACGCAGCTAACACAATGATCATGCAAAGCATGCCACCCAAAGGGAGTAAACCAAGAAAGTGAAGGATGTGAGCGATGAGAGGATGTCACATCTCAGACCCTCTAGCCCTGCTGCCTTTTACTCAGTTACACCACGTCCCCTGCCGCTGTCTCTGAGACAGCGTTAATGAGGAGCCTTCCTATGGCCTTGAACTGGCTCCACCTCCTGACAGGTGCAGGATAAATTTATGGTCCTCTTTAGTGCCTGCCCTGGTTCCCTTGGCATTCAGGCAAGGCCAGGTAGGTCACGTGGTATAGAACTTCCCACACACCCCTGAAAGCCTGTAAGACAAAGAAGTTCCCCTTGTTCTCAGGGGCTGAAGGGAACTGGCAGCCTCTAGGTCCTGTTGGTGCCCCTCGTGGTTGTCTATGCCCATGCTGTTACAGCGCCCCTGATATCCAGGGATTGAAGACTCTCCCTTCTAAACTCCATTGTGCTGTCTGTAGTGCAAGGGCCCCATCTCTCCTAAAGCTCTCTCGCACCTCAGCCTGATCAAGGCTACGTGTGGTCATGAGGCTCTCGCTCTCTCTTTCCTAATAAAGCTTTTCTGAAGGGTAACTTCATGTCAGCTCCTTTCTAGGAACTCATGCCTGTCTCCTTCCTTCTAACAGATAAAATCGTTAGTGCAGGAGAGAAGTACAAGGGTTCTCAGCACACTGGGAAAGGACCAGGGCTGATGACCATCAGGATCAAAAAGGACTCAGCAACAAGTGTTTCTTACTGTGTATCTGTGTGTATGTCTCTCTCTCTCTGTGTCTCTGGTACATATATCTGTCCATGTGTGTTGTGCATGTATATGCAGGATGTGTGTGTGTGTGTGTGTGTGTGTGTGTGTGTGTGCGTGCGCGTGCGTGCGTGCGTGCGTGCGTGCGTGCGTGCGTGCGTGCATGTGTGTGTGCGTTTATTGCTGGTTATTGAACCCAGAGTCATTAGCCTTTATGCCAATAGACAGACTGAGTACTGTCATCCCCCAGATCCCTTCTATCATGGCATCATTTTCTGGTTTTCTTTTTTGTTGGTTTTGTTTTGTTTTCTTTTGTTTTTCGAGGCAAGGTTTCTTTGTGTAGCCCTGACTGTCCTGCAACTCTCTGTAGACCTGGCTGGCCTTCAACTCAGCCTCCCAAGTGCTAGAATTAAAGTGTTCACCACCACCACAACTGCAGTCACCCAAGAACTAATGGCATTCTTCTATCCCTGCCTGCTTCCTACCCCTGAGGGGCTGTTTTATGCTCACTGAAGCCAGACTGTGGCTCAGACCCTTGGGAGTGCTCAGCAAATACTGGCAATATTACCTTTCTCATCCACTTAGAAATGTGCTGCTCCTCTATGTCAATCGCACTTGAAAAAGATACATTAAATAGCTGATGAACAGTATTCAGCTAACTGATGAAAGAAACCAGGCCCATTAGGAAGCTACCTAATGCCTCACTGTAGAGAAGAGAGACCAAATAACAATCAGTAGAGGCAGCATGAGAGAAAGCTGAGACTGTCCCCATCAGCAAATGCCTCCCAACCAAGTCACAGCGGCCCAGAATGTCCAGCAGCCAAAACCCTGGATGAGCCAAGCGAGAAGAGCAAGCTCCAGAGACTGTCTCTGCTACTGTAATTTATCAGCTTCATTTCCTGAGTCAGCCCTGTGAGGAGTACAAGGATTCTCCTCTCTAGTTCACATGAAATCCTCTGAGATCAGTTCTCACAGGTTTTATATCAAGTGGGGAGCCTGACTAAATATGTCCTCCAAGATCACACAGCTAGAAAAAGACAGGGCCCAGAGGGCCAGAAGGGAGTGGTTAGCTCAATGATCGAGGGCCTACCTACCACTGGCAAGACCCTGGGTTCAGTCCCTAGCACTGAAAGTGAAGGGCCCAAGTCTATTTGACTCCAGGAGGCCCTGCTCTCCATCCCCACATTAGCCAAGTAGAAAGAGAAAGGATTGCAACACACAGAAGCAAATAACCACACAGACCTTAAGCTCCCACCCATGCAAAGCCAAGTGTGGTCGCACTTGCCTGGAATCTGAGCACTTGGCAATCTAAAGGAGAAGACTAAGGGTTCAAGGCCAGACCAGTCTAAGCTGCCCAGAGATACCCTGTCTCAAAAGAGAAAATGGAGAAATGGCAGGACCCCCTCTAGGATAAGTACATTATAATCTGTTGCCTGCTAAGTGAGGCTGGTTAAATGAACCCACACACCTATCTCTCGGCCACTCACCAACACAGCTGCATCTGACTGCCAGGAAAACATGGCACAGGTCTAAAGACGCAAAAAGATTTGTTGGGCGAAATGAATGACCACAGCCAGATGACTTGAGTTCTAGAAGCTTCTGTTTCCTCATCTACAAAGTGGGGCTAACAGAGCGTCCCTCCAAGGCTCTAAGAGCATCATCACAGGGGTGGACTGGTCATCAGACCCTATGTGCTGATCTGAATTGTCATCTCACCTACCTGACTCCCCACCCTGAGCATGACACTCTCAGGGACAGGCAGCATACACCTAGGCTATTTTTGTCCTATTTGTGACTCCATCTCTACCCACACTCACGTCCAGTCACTGTCAGCTGGGGAACTGACCTGGCACCTAAAGTCAGGTACAGGGGCTGAGGACGCACCTGGTCACTGCGGGCAACTCCATAGCGTAGTTCATTCACAAAGTGCTCACAGTTCTCACTGGTCAGCTTGTAGAGCACCTCCTGCCCCACCAGCTCCTCGGCCCGCTGGATGATCTTGTTTAGAGGCAGTGGGGTGTATTCGCTGTCGTGTTTGTTATTGACCTGGTACTTGTCCCTCCCGGCCACGTCGCACAGCAGTTCTTTCTTCACTATGGCCTTGTCGGTCAAAACAGACATGATGCTGGCTGCCCCGGCTCCTGCAAATTCACCTGTGGATCCACAAAGAATAGAGGAGTTGTTCCTGGACAGGGTCACAGGGATTGGGTGCTAGCCCACAGCTGGGCACCCAGGCTTAGCACCATCCACAAGGGATGAGCAAGACGAAAACAGGTGAGGCTTTAGAAAAGGTTCTTGTGGTCCCTGAACCCTTATCAAGATGGAGACAAGTAAAGCGCCATGATTTATTGGGATGTTTTAGTGATAACAGTGCTAGTGAGGGTGACGGTCAGTTGAGGGATGAGACAGGGTCTCACTCTGTAATCCAGGCTGGTCTAACCTGGAAATTACTATGTAGTCCAGCCTGGTGTCAAACTCTCAACTGCTTCTTGCCTCTGCAGTCCATATGCTGGGATGACGGACATGCACCATCACCCCTGGCTACTGGGATGATGGACATGCATCACAATCCTTGGCTACTGGAGTGTTTCTTTAATCAGAAGAAGCTGGTCTTCAATACTGTAACCACTTCTTGATTCTGCAAATATGTGCCAGGAGCTCCCTCACCTTTCTGGGAAAAGAGCATGTAACCTATTGATTCCATCTGACTACAATTCCTTGACCTCGCCAGGCTGATGGCCTCAGGAAAAGAGGCTGGTCTTCCAGAGTCCCACCCTTCCAGGGAAAGAAAAGAGATCAAAACTCTCTAGCTGCTCCCCAAAAGAGACCCAGAGAATGTGGTGGCAGCCCTGGCCAAGGTATACAGGTGAGAAGAGACAGTAATGGAGTGACTAGAAGAGGAGGAACTTGGGTTCTGTAGGACCAGGCTGGGGCAGTGAGGTCAGCTGACCGAGCACAGAGCCAGGGTCTCCTAACCCAAGGACCCATACAATGGGCATGCACTGGGTATTATGGCTAGAAAGGAGCTATACACTGAAGAAGTAGACCCAGGAGCCCATGGAGCATCACAAGACTGGTTCCCTATCAGGAGCAGGGCCCCCTGGGTGAAGCAACAGCACCCCAATAAGCAGGACAGGACCAGTCTTTAAATGTGACAGTGGGAGAGCATCAGGCAAAGGCAGGGAGGGGACGGGCAGAGCCACGTGATCCTTCTTCCACGGAGCCACAGAACAGGCTGAACTCTTCTGATAAATCAAACACGTGAACCCGGCATGGTGGTACACTCCCTTAATCCCAAAACTCACGAGACAGGCAAGACAGATCTTTGTGAGTTCAAGGGCAGTCTAGTCTACACAAATGATGGACCAGCCTGACTCTATCTTAAGATTAGAAGTCATCTTGTTACAAGGTCAAAATAAGTTCATTCCTGTTTCTGTAAAACTTGGGTTTGACCATGTATTGACCCATTTTTTTTTTATTTTTTTATTTTTTTTTGGAACCTGACATGTTCTACACCCTCCACCCTGAGAAGATAAGATGTTCTACCAAATAATTCTAAAATGCTCAGCTACATTTCTTCATAACCAAAATTCCTCTTGAAATCTCCCAACCCTTAAAAATCCACTAGCCTTGTAGGTTTTGGGGAGCTATATAAAATACCCCACTATCTCCTGTGTTCAATACTATTTTCTCAAACTCCACTTTAGGGAGACAGCCCTATCTGACAAAAAATAAAGCTTGCTAAATTTGGCCAAAGAATTTGTGTATGGTCTTTACTCTCATTCAGTGGGATTAACACGAGGAGTTCCAGACCACCTAGGATGACATAGTGAGACCCTGCCTTTTGTTTTGTCTTGAAACAGGATCCATGTAGCCCTACCTTTCCTGGAACACTCTATGTAGAACAAGCCTTGAACTCACACACAGAGAGATGTTGTTTTAACTTTGGCACAGTAACTGTGCCTTAGTCTACTGCTATTTCCACAGCTACTGGCCTGCTTCTCTGGCAGGCTGCACCCCAGTGGGAATTCTGTTCCTGCAGGCACCAGCTCTGCCGCTGCCACTAAAGGTAGCTTTAACTAAATCTCCATCATTCTATTTATCAAAAGACTCGAGATTCAAAGGCTGGGGTGAAAACCTGCTAGCTCAGAGAGGCTGAGTAGCACCTAGCCAACCTTCTCTCCTTGCTGGCATCTCCAAAAGCTCTTTCTTCTGCTCCACCACACAAGCCACGCCACTCCAAACCTTCCCAACGCCTTCCAGTGCGTCTGTCTCTTCCAGGTGCCCTCTGATGCTCTAGAATTACTTTCTATCAACTAGTTGCTAACTCGGCCTCCTGACCCAAGGGTAATTTTATTTAATTAACTCAAATACAAACCCAGGGTTCAGTGTGACTGAATATTCCCCAGCAGAGATCTACCTGCCTCTGCCTCCTGAGGGCTGGTATTGGAGGAGTGCACCACTGTGTCCACTCAGCCATGAGACCCTGCCTTTAAAAAAAATGAAAATTTGAAAACAGCTATGTATGACTGTCTGTAACAGACCTGATGCTAGACGGATCCTGTCAACAGTCACTCATGGATTAGGGAAGGACTCACAGGTCTCTACCTTCCCTGTTGAACTCTTGGCTATTGGTAGATCTAGGGGCAGGGCAGTCATTGTCTTCTGTTGTGTACCTACTGATGAACCCACCAGGCTCCATCAGAGAGTTTCAAACCCAGCATCACACAGAGGACCCTGGTTAAACCAACGGGTCTCAAGAAAAAAAAAGACATGAATGTGGGAAAGGGATTTGTAGGGGGAAATGATAAGGGTGGGACTAGAGAGGGTAGAATGACAGCAGTCAGGATGCACTTTATACATGGTTAAACTGTCCAAGAACAAATTCAATAAAAAAAAATTATAAAGAAAGAAAATTTGGGCATTGGTGGCGCATGCCTTTAATCCCAGCACTCGGGAGGCAGAGGCAGGTGGATCTCTGTGAGTTCAAGGCCAGCCTGGTCTACAGAGCGAGATCCAGGAAAGGCGCAAAGCTACACAGAGAAAC